GTTTTGGGGTTAGATTGTCGCTTTTAGATCAACGAAACCTGTCTTTTGAGCTCTGCCCGCATATCCACTGGGATATCTAAACTTCAAAATATTTTTTGAACCCGTTGTTTTCTTGTATTTTGCTTGTCTTACCCTGGCCCTTATCTACCTCTAACCCTCCTGAGAGGCTACGCGGTGAGATGTTGACACCGGTTGAAAAACTTAGTAATTTTATTGTGGTTTTCGTTTCCAAAGCGATGGTTACGTGAATCGAGCCATGTGAGGTGATATAAGAAATGTTAATAACTATGTTAATCCTGCTGTAAGTAGAACTTTAAGATCATGGGTGGCTTTTTAAGACCTCTATTTTTTACATGACCATCGTTTTTTTCTTTTTGTTTTTGTTGATGTGAGTGACCTTTCCTACTTTCAAAAGTCATGCTTGTTTTTGGAAAGTGATTGTTCTATGTGAAAGATGCTGCGTTGAAATAACTTACAGAGGTATTTGTAGATCATTGTTGATTTATGTGAGTGCCGGGTATGCTCACTTTGTTATGTAAATAAATGTTTGTTACAGAATCGTTCAAAACTGAGAAATGTTATTGTTCATTGAATATTTTATCTTTTTTTTTGAATGTTGGTTGATTTTTTGATGTGTCATCGATTAATCTGTCAGCAATTACTGCAGGTGGTACCAAAAATCCATTGATATGCAACGAACCCTGTAAGTTGGTTTGAATTTCTCCGTTTTTTTTCTATGAATTTCAGTTGTAATTACAGAAATCCAACTTGTACCGGTACCTCGGTGATTGCTCTCCAGTATGAGAAAGGTGTTGTTATTATGACCGATCGTGTTGTTTCGTACGGAAAAACTGCTCGATACAAGGTAAGTAAAGATGTTGGCGTTAAAACACGCCCCGGTCAAAATTGGTGGGTAGAACTCTTCTACGCCCTAGATAGAACCCCTTCCGGACAGAACCTTGCACAAAGCAGAGAGAGCTGTTCGCACGAGTTCCCACACACGTACCTGTATCGGCTCTTTTCGTTTACCACCTCACTCTCACTATTGGGAATAGAAATAGCTAGTAGTGGAACATCTGCACCATCAGGAAGACTCTAGAATCGAACGTTGGGTGCCCCATAGAGCAGGGCGGGACGTTGCCTTCGTCGCAAGAGTATTTTTTTTCTTTTTTTTTTTTTTTTTTTTTTTTTTTTTTTTTTTTTTTTTCTTTTTTTTTTCTTTTTTTTTTTCTTTTTTTTTTTTTTTTTCTTTTTCTTTTTTTTTTTTTTTTTTTTTTTTTTTTTTTTTTTTTTTTTTTTTTTTTTTTTTTTTTAGCTTTTCCGCGCGAAACTTCGGGTCGCCAGCAGTATCTTCACACTTGTTTTGCCAGTTGCCGAAGGAACACTTCCTCTGCCGCTGCGGACAAATCGTTTAGAGTCGAATAACGGCGTTTGCACATCAATTGGACGCGCGTGACTTGCCTTGAGCTGACAGAGTGCAGTGCTTTTCTCTACGTTACTTTCTTCCCCACCCCCGGGATGTTCTATCTAAACTCTGCGAAGCTGCATACCTGAGTAAGTCAGCTGTACACTTGTATGCCCTTTTCCTGCACTTCCACTATCTGACCTGACCTCCAAGGTATTTACTCCGGAAGCGCGATCACTCTTGGAATCGCGCCATAACGATCAGATCTTGTAGGATGATGCTTACCATGAAATGCGTGGAGGATGATCCCTTAGGTATCCAAAATGTAGTTAACGAGAATCGGAATAATGTGATTCTGTCTTGTGTATTTCCTTGTTGTGGAATAGAATCCAAAGGAGATGTCGTTAGGGGGGGTAGAACTTGACCTATCGTGTCCCGTTTGAAGAAGAAATAGGAGGGAGGGTGGACAGAAAAATTCCCACTCATGATGTACCCTTATTGTAACACCCGGATCTGCTTGTCATCCCTCCTGTTTCTTCCCAGCGTTGCCAAATTTTGACGTTCAGAATGTATCTCGTCAGTATAAAGTGAACAACAACATGATTATCGCTTTTGGAGGTGATCATGCGGATTTCCAATGGCTTCAAAACGTCATAGAAAGACAGGTGGGCTGGTCAAAGAATTGCTGCTGATTTCAGGAGAACTTGTCCGAATATTGTTCATTATTGTAGGTATTGGCATGCGAAGATGATTGGTCAGGATCTCTCACCTAAAGCCCTTCACGGGTTTTTGACAAGCCTCATGTATGCTAGGTGAGAAGCAGACTTCACTTAGAATTGTCCTTGAGACTCTCATGAGGCGCGCGTTCGTCCGGCATAGCAGTGATTCAGCTCACTGTAGCGTCCTAAGTAGCATCACTTGGGGGGGGGGCTACAGCTGTTCACATTCATTTAGTCTCCTGTCCTCCTCAGAGGTAGCCAGTTTCATTTCCGACAATTGAACCTTAGAGGTAAAGGGAGCTGGTTCAACATGAAACTCTGTCCATCGTCGAGTCGCGTTTCCTGGTTTCGCATTCATTTCCTACTCGCTCATCACATGGGAAGATGCGGGGACTATGATGCAGGCTGCCTTGCGATGATGTCCTTCATGAAGCTAGGGAGCGGTTCAAAGAACTAATGCGCTGATCCACAGAATACTCGAATACTTATTCTTTGTGATTAGCCATGTCAGGGCCAGCTGACATTGCTCTGTTCCATTCACACTCTCTTTACTGATGAATTCCATTGAACGAGCGAGTTATTCAGTTAGAAAAAATAAGAAAGACTCTTGGAAGGAGCTTCAAGCACACGCAAAAGTCGCGTGCGTCGTTGGATCAGTGGTGGAATGCTCGCCCGCTACCCGGACGACTCGAAGTACTTTCCTGGCCGATGAATCGGATTTCTGTTAGTGCTTGGGACGAGGCTTTGTGACCCCCTCCCGCTTGTGACCGGATGATTCGGTGGCTCAATTTGTGAATAAGAGCCAGAGCGAGAGAAGAGTGATGCCAACGAAGCTTTTATCTTGCTAGCGCGAAGAAGTAACTGAGTTACTGTGAGAGTATTCTTCTTTACAGTGTTCCCGCTTTTTGCCCACAGGCAGTGGTCGCCTTCCGTTAGAGTGGCTGAAGCACTTTTCCTGGACTTTGTGAAATTGTATAAGTTGTGGAAAAATCAGATTATTGCCATATATTGGGCGACAAACTCTAGACACACGAGCATTCTTACTGGGAAGCGGACAGTGTTCCTGCGCTCGCTAGTACTGCATGAACCCTATGTTAATCTAGTCCTATTTCAGACGTACTCGTATGAACCCTCTATGGAACACGTTGGTGGTAGCTGGAGTCGAAGATGAGGAGAAGAATAATAAGGAAACTAGCGTCCCGTTCATTGGTGTAATCACGCAGAAGGTGGGTTCAATAAGTCAATATTGCGTTTGCAACATGCAGAGTTTTTAGAAGAAATCCCTTCGATTTAGGGCGTGGCATATCAAACAAAGCACGTTGCTACAGGCATTGCTGCTATGCTCCTCAATCAAGCTGTTGAGGATGAGTGGAAGAAAAAGGTTAAAGTAATTCAATTGGAGTGGCGTTGGTCTTTTCCTGCTTGTTTGCTTGCTTTTTGTTTTTGCATGCTATGCTATGCTTTCCCCTTTGTTTAATATGTTTATGAAGATCACATCTTGCGAAGGCTTATTTCAGGGAGAGAAGTTGACACGTTTAGAAGCGGAGGCTTTAGTACGTAAAGCATTGGAGCTCACTATCTATCACGATTGCTGCGCTGATAATGACTTCGAGGTTGGAGTGGTTGACGCAGAAGAAGGAGTTACACTGGGTAGACAGGTATGCACTGCCTGAAGCCGAGCTACCCATTCTCAATGAATTTTCCTGATTTCTTTCGTTTAGGAAACGAATCATTGGCGATTGGAGCATTGCCGAAACCAACTGTCAATATGAATGAAGACCTCATGTTATTTATTAATTGTTCTCGGATATTTTCATCTAAACGGTTTTCCGTAGCCTTTTAAACGTGGTGTGTAATAAAAATTTTAACACTAACGTGCGGAATGATTTTCTTGTCTTGATAGTTGAGGACTCGTGCAATAACCTTTATTGGTAAGCTTTCGCTGTTTTAACAGCTTCGTCAGACCTTAAAACAGTGAAACAAGCATACTTGCATTACAACACTTAATAAGGGTTGAGTTATACAAATAATAACTAACCAGGTTGGCCAGGTTAACACCAATTGTTATATTCTGCAACACAGTGTATGCAACTACTATTAAAGCATACCATAGAAGAGGGACGCTTACCCCAATTAACTAAGTGAAAGTCACCAGAAATGTGACGTGCGTGACATCTCCAGTGACATCCTATCACAACCGCTATGATATCAGACTCATTGCTCCCATCAGCTCATCCCTGTTATTTATTTCGGGGGATAGACGCTTGATAGCAAGCGCCTCGAGCAGCTTCCTTTCTAATGGTCCTTCCTTCGAGCGGTGCAATATGGCGACTTTTAGGGAGGGCGGGGCTTCTTGCTCATGAAACAGGGTGCGATGCCGTGAAAATCCACTCCTTGGGTAAGAAGAAGGATTCCGCAGCGCTCGTCCATTCGTCTATGCGGTGGTCGCATAGTTTCACCGACGTGTTTTTGACCACATCCTTCACATGTGACCAAGTAAACAGTTCCTCGTAACTGGCAGATTTATTCCTGCGCAGTAGGATGCAAATTCTTCGGCCACATTTTCCTTCATATATCCGCGACGATGTCAATTTGCAGGTGGTCCGAATACTAGTTGCACTGGGAGGCGGGATGACTTGACAAACATGATTCTTTCTTATGGCGCGGTTCGATCGTTAACGGTACGGGTAGACAAGTGGTGTCTCATGTAAGAAAGGAGCCAGGTTTTTTAGTCGACTGTTATAAGCATTTTCTCGCGGGTTTTCGCTATCTCGTGTTAACTCTTCTGATTCAACGGTGCGGCGTCGTGATAAAGTTCTTTAACACGTTGCTTTCATATCAGGGATGTGGCACTCGGAATGTAGAAAGATATTCTCGCACTCGCGGCTTCTTGTCTATATGGGCTCTTTCGGTTCATAATTCTATTCTGGCTTTTGTGTTCAGAAACGAGGGGGGGGGGTGGGGGGGGGGGGAGGAGGAGCCGGTATGGTTCAGCGAAAAGGTAGAACGTATGTTTTGGATACACGAGTTCAGTTTTTGAGCGTCGTGTTCATCGGCTTCGACAGTAGAGCTAAGGAAGACAATTGTCTATATACCGTTGTGGAAGAGAATTCCCGAATGCAGGATTATTCTCTATGCGCTCCAAGTAGACGATGCCTAGTAGCCGGTGATATGCCCAGTCCCTAGCAGGCTCTTTTATGTGAATAGATATGCAGGAGAAGCTGGAAGATGGGTTACACTTCACCGTGTATTGAGGTTGTCGGAAGTTTTAGCGGTTTGGGTGTTATTAACTTTAAACGATCATAACTTTCTTAACACTCATCGGATTTAATCCAAATAAGCACCATTCGAATCAGCACACTTTTGCCAATGTGGCAGCAGTCGAGAAATCCCATCAAAGAAAAAACTGGGTGGTCGAGAATCCACGAAATCTGCGAAGTCTTTTTGCCTGGTCTTAATTGATGAAGTATTTTTCAGCAAGGAAGTTCTGAAAATGTCTGAAAAGGTGACAGTCGGTTGGTGAAAGGTCTAGAGAATATGGTGGGGGAGGGTGAGGTAGAACTTCAACTCCCAATTCGTTCAATTTATGGATAGTGATTTGTGAAACGTGTGGGCGGGCGTTGTCATGCAAAAGAATCGACCCTTTCTTTTGATAAGTGTTGGCTGCAGCTGACAATATTTCGGTACATTTGGTCGGTTTGTTCACAGTAGGGTTCTGCTGTGATGGTTTGGCCTGGTGATGAAAAGTTATAGTGGATTACAACAGCCGATGACCACCAAACCTGACCAGAATTTTTTTTGCGAGGGTTGGCTTGAAATTCTCGGGTGGTTCCGTATCAAATCCAACCACTGTCCGGAACGTCTCTGTTATCATACATGATCCATTTTTCATCACAGGTGACAAATCCGTTCAAAAACGGGTCAATTCTTTTGCGCAATGAAGAAGGAACCTCGAGACGTGCCGATTCCTGCCGGTCACTCCGATTGTGGGGCACCCAATTGTCGAGTTTTTTCACTTCCAATGCGTTCGACATCTGGCACAGTGGATTTGCAAGGCTGCTCTTCTGCTATCTCTCGAACTGTTTGGGATGGGTCAACCTTCAAAATCCCCCTAAAATCCTCGTCAGATATTGCTTTAGGTCGACCGCTATGAGGCTCACCTTCAAGGCTGAAATCTCCAGAGCGAAATTTATTGAGCCATTGCCGCACAGTGCTTTCTTTAGCACTATTGGGCCCCCACACCTGGTTAATTTGTTGAGCTGTTTCGATTGCGGATTGCCCCAATTTATAGGGAAGAAAAAATCGTCGGAGTGGGCTTTATTCACATGCTTTGAATTAATCTTTGAAAAAAGAGGGTTTATCAAGCAATGGTGAAACGGCAATTATACCATCAGATAGCGCAAGAAATTCTCTACAGGATGTGCTACTGAGAAGCAAGGCAGAATGAGTTTTTAATCAGCAGTGAATGTACAAAGATTAGGTGCACAAAACGCTGAAGAACTTTCCGGACAACCTAATACAATAGTTGCCGTAGAATTGACACATGCGAACATTGACATGGTCCGTTAGTGAGTGGTGGAATTCACAAACTTGGGTCATTAGTACGGTTTCTATGGATTATCAAAAAGGATCACTATAGTTTGGTTCGCTGCTGACGAAGGGCAAGTAGGCGAATGAATTTGGTGCGGTGGAAAAGCCGTATCGATCGGTTTTCTACAATCTGTTGTCGTATTCCCTCTTCATAGCGAACTGGTAGAGCAAAGGGATGGCGCCACTCAGCTGTCGTCTGAAGCCGTTCATGCCGCAGTGAACTAGAGCAGATGTTGCAGGTAGAGAGGCGGAGCAGTAGGTAAGGAAGCCTTTCAATAACCATTGGATCGCGAATAAACGCCGTAATGAATCTGCCATTTATCTTTGAATCGTTCGGTTGGTAGGAGTCTCGCTCTGGGATGTTTTGCACTATGGCGTATAAATACGAACGTATCCAAATCTTGTAATGTCTGAGGAAGTGAACCGTTTGGGGGGCATTCATAAAATTGTAGAGAGTGGCAAAGAGAATGGAGACCGGTTCCGCAGCCCCTCAGTTAATTCCGTGGTCTCTGCCTAAGGCGGAACACCGCGTTCGGGCAGAGATATTCACAGAGTAGTGAGGGGCAGGGACGTCATCGCGCTCGATTATGACTGCTGGACGCTGTTCGATCACATTGGATTCGACGGTGATGTCAAACGAACACTGCACAAGAGTTCACGTGATGGTCAGACTTCTTCGTAAGAGCTCTGAGCGAATTGCATGATGCTCAACGTGTCCCCCGAGCGCAGGAAAGCCACTGATCAACCCTAGCGCGTTACAAGGAAGAACGGGAACATTACTGACCTTCCCCCGAGCAACGTGTTGTTATGTTCGTCGAGTATAGTTCGATTACTTTCATCTGCACATGATGCTTTGCTCATGTGAAAAAAAAACGAATCAAATGTTTTATTAACGGGAGCACAGCCGATACAGATGAATGCTTGATGGTAAGTGGAAGCGAAAAGCTCATAAGGAATTCGGCGAAGACGCTCATTTCTTCTAGTAAAGCTTATGTACGATGGGGCAAGGTCGCATCCGATCCGAATGCTATGATGTCGCATTTGTATCAGCTACAATAATCAGGGCTTTTAAGCCGCGTTTCTCTCCGAATGATATGGGATTTCTGAGAGGACTCATATGGGGGGTGGGTCATGATAGGTCGAACCGCCTTTACAGAGCAGAAGGGCAAGAAACAGGAATGAAAGGAGGTATTGGAAGAGAATCGCCTTCTGCCGAAATTGAAGGTTTTCTGCTGAAGGCTGAAGAGTGAACGACGGTCATAATGAGTATAGAAAATCATCAAAAGACTGGAGGGATATTTCGGATCTGGGAAGCGACAGCATCTGCAAAAAGCAAGCGTAGACTAGATGGACATGGCCCCCATATAACAGTATGGGTGAAGTGAAATGAGTCCAGTAGTAGGTGCTTACAGGTGTTATGGCAGCGAGTAATTGGTCCATGTGCAGTAAATTTAAATCGCAACGAATGGAAAGTTGAGACTGACCAGGAGTGATGCGACAAACTGAAAGAACCGCTCCCCACAGCATGCGACTTATGAGAATCTTGGATCGTGTCATGGGACGCTCTTTTTTTTCAACATGAATCATCTCAGTTGGAAATAAAACTAACCGCTTATGTCGACGACGACTACATGTTATAATGGCGGTATCTTACGGATTAGTCTTCCATCGAGGGCTAGCACGGGTTGATGTTCTATGGTTCCGCGCCAATTTAAAGCTTAGGAGACGAAGCGCAGATAATGAAAACGGTACTTCTGGCCCGAGCGAGATTCAGTTTAGGGTATGATCAAGCGTCACTTGAAAAATAGTCTCATGCATAAGATTGTCAACCGCTTATTGGACGCCGGTAGATCGAAATGCGGAGGGAAGGTCTTTCCATCGTTAAATTCCTGCCAGGCCCTAGTGCAACTTACGAAACGTTCTGCATATTGATAATAAGATACAGATTAATATGTAAGTTGTATCAATGGGTCGCTGCTGCTAGATGAGGCAAGCAAGCACTGACTTCCACCAAGATTAATTGTGGCGCAATCGCTAAAGTTTATCCTGAATGTTTTTCCGCCTGAGGCGAAAGGGAGGTTTA